GAACCATGACTAAATCAAGTCTCTTAAAACTTTAGTTTTCTTTCGGGTACTAGGCCCCAACTGCCTATCCATCCTTTGGGAGAGAGGTAAAGACTCAGCGAAGATTTGAGGATGGAGGAAAAGAATGGAGCTGTTGCTGGCCACAATGGAACTCTGGCTGTCGGAGCGCAAGCAGCCACTCCTGCCACTGAGGTGTCACTGGCAGGAGCTTAGCCAAAGTCCTGGTTGATCCAACCTGGGAAGCTGGAACTGTAGGAACTACGATCCTAGTGGACCTCTATTAAGCCGAAGCTGCCCCTCAGCGCAGGAGCACTCCTGAAGAGGAACTCCTGTTGCTGCCATCCCAGGGGTTTTCGTCCACGGCATACCAGAAGGAAAAGGATCAATCGAAGGGGACAATTCTGGACACTGGAAGTTCCAGTCCAAGTCCCTCGCTTGAGCAGCTAAAGAAATCTGGCAAATTGGAGGTAAAAGAGATGGTTCCCATCTCCCAGGATGTGTGTGCCATGGGGGGAATGCCAAGGGCTACCTATCTCTTCCCCCCCCCTACTGGAGTCCCAGCCTGACTGCAGGAGCCCGTGCTGCCTCACCTATTCCCCAGCCAGCTGTGATGTCCAGCCCTGTATCCCAACCAAGCCCACTGCTGTGGGTTCAGGCTGCCAGTCCAGGAGTCTAGCCAAGGGAAGTCCGAAGTCCCAAGAGAAGCAGCTCAGCAGCAAGTACAGGCGGCCCCACCATGATTTGAGCTGCCTCCCATCAAGCTCACCTTTGATGGGGACCCCGAGAAGGTATCCTTACTGAATCAAGTGTGGGCGCATCTAGATCGCTATGCTTATGCCTACCTGGATGATGCTCAGGTGGTGAATGTTGTGGCAGCCAATTTGGAGGGGGACGTGGCTGACTGGGTGACCAATCTCCATGATGAAGGGGCTCCTGAGCTGCAGAATGCTAACCTATTCATGGAGCAACTGAGAGGTCGTTTTGAAGATGAATCCCAGGCCCTGTTGACTGAGAAAGAGATCTATCGTCTGAAGCAAAAAGGCTGCCCCACTAAGGAATACATTTGTGAATTGCTGGTTGGCTAAGACAGTGGTCGGAACGATATTGATCAACTACTTCAAGCAGGAGCTAGACCGCAACCTACTCCAAGCCATCATTTGGGGCTTTCCTAACCAATTGCATGAGTAGTACAGCATGGTAGTGGTGGCTGGACATCGAATTGGATCACCTCAGAAAACCAGTCACAGCCGAACCCAAGCCACTGTGCACCCAGGAGAAGCACCTTTTTGGTCGACGTTCCCAAGCCACCATGACCACGAGCGTCCCCCAAGCACCAGTTAGAGTTCCAATCAAATGCTACCGATGCGGCCAAATGGATCACCATGCTGTGGAGTGCCCAGCACCCAACCCAGAAGCACATTGGCTGCCTCTGTTAAGCCACAAAAAGCCCCCAGAGGAGGAAGGGAAAAGACAAACTGGGCACGACAGGACCCAGCTGTTAAACACCCCCTCCTGCCAAGCCCAAGGCAAGAGCCCTGCCAGAGCCATTACAAATGCCGGTGCCCTATTACAGTGATGAGGAAGGTGAGGAGGATCCGATGGTATGTCAGCCCACCCCATCTTTTGCCATTCCCAAGATAACAGTACCGCAAACCGGGGCCCAAACGAACTTAAATGTGTTAATAGACTCTGTTGCACCAGGTGCCTAATTAATCTACCCCACAATGCTCAAGCTGGGGATTCGGGCAAGGCTCTTACCCCTAGCCATGAGATTTGAACAAGCTAACAGGTCCCTTATTGGCAGTGCATCTGCCACGCACCTAACAGAACCAGTGAAATTGGAAATGGATCGGCACTGGGGGAACATTCATTTTGTGGTGGTCCCAAAAATGTTTGAGGCTGTAATTTTGGGTCTATCCTGGCTTGACAAGTGGTGCCCAACCATCTGGTGAGAGAATGGAGTGAGGAATTAAGATTGGGGATAGGTCCCTTCCCCCCCTGCCACCACAGTGATACAAAGGACTGTAAATGAAACTCAGGAAGAACATCTTGAAACACTAAAGGCAATTGTAGAGAAGCTGCCAGGAATCCAGCTTGTCTCAACCAAATACCATGAGTTAGCCGAGGCGTTTAATCACAAAGAATGTGACGTCCTCCTCCTCATCCAGCTATGACTGTGCCATTGGAATCTTACCCAGGGCCAAGCTCCCAAAACCAAAAATATACTCCATGACACCCAGAGAGATGGAGTTAAGAGAGTACATTGATAAGAACCTGGCTTATCATCCAACCAGCAAAATGTTGTGTAGTAGCCCCTGTATTGTTCAAAAAGAAAGATGGATCACTGAGATTATGCATGAATTTTAAAAGGTTAAACGCTATCAGCCTACAAAACATGTACCCCTTCCCCTTAATGAAGGACATGTTAGGCCACCTGGCAAAAGGGAAAGTTTTTATCAAGTTGGATTTAAGGGAGGCTTATTACCGAGTCTGGATTAAGGAAGGGGATGAATGGAAAACCACCTTCAATTGCTCCCTGGAAAGTTTCCAATTTAAATTGATGCCTTTTGGACTACAAGGAGCTCCTGCTGTGTTTATGCAGTTAATCAACCAGGTGCTCCATGATCATCTGTATAAGGGTTTTGGTTTATCTTGATGACATTCTCATTTACACTGAGACTATGGAAGAGCACATTAAATTGGTCCATGAAATACTGAGGAAACTGCTGAAGGCTAAACTGTATGCAAAGCTTTCTAAATGTGAGTTTCACCAGATATGCCTTGACTATCTAGGATACCGAATTTCATGACACTCTTTGAAACAGCTCACGAGGATGTCTTCCTGCCAGTCAAGGAGACGTGCTAAATCCCAGATTAAGTAGGGAGACCATGCGCTGGGGGGGGGGGAATTCTCTCCTCCTGGTACAACTCCCCTTCTTTTAGGAGACAGCATGTCACATCCCTGTCGGAACACTGCCATTCCGTGGGGAGGGAGGACAGTTACTTGTGGACTGAAGAATGTAATGTTTTCATTTTGTGTATCTGTATGTGAATTAGGGAGCTGGGAATGGGCCATCTGGATGGGCTCCTTTCCAGCTAATCTCTGCTTCTTATCAAAGTCATTATCACCTTCTCATCTCCGAATTCTCAAAACACCTTCACACAGTGGATTGGCTCCTGATGGACTGGGGCATTGGGGTGGGGTTTGAACAATGGGAAATTAGTTTAATAATTCACGCGGGAACTTCAGATTCTACCTGGCTCCTCTGCAATCACTAAGGCAGGACCTGAGCTCAGTCTTTTGCCTTCTAGCCTGGTGCCTTAAACAGTGGATCAAACTGGCTCCTATATATCCTATAGGATATATTATCCTCTAATGTCAGTTTTGCTACCTTACTTTAATCCAACCCATGTTTTTGTCTAAATTTTATTTTTATAGTAATAAAAATATGTGCTAGGCTTTTTACAAGAGTCGAATGAATTACATTTTTCCAAAGTGTTTTATAAACAATAAAAGAAAACCTGCCTGGAAAAAAGCTATTACTAATTTAGGTTTTATACAGTATAATACTGTGCTGCTATTTTTGGTAGTAATAAGGCTGTAAAAAGCATAAGAAAAAGATGCTTGTGCTCTATCACAAACAAAACACCCCTCCTTGAACAACAAAACCAGCTGCATCTTTTGAGAGGCTCATGGGGGTTGCAGCTGCAGCTATCTCTGCATGGACTTAGTTTTGCTGACAAAGCATCTCTTTGGAATGCTTTGCACAGCCATATGTTGTTGTGATAAATGTTGAGTCATACAGGTATCCACCCCTGAAGTAAACTCTTAGCCAGAGATTTGAGAGCCTGTATTTTTTTTTTCCAGAATTGGGAGGAGCGCACATATAACATGTAAATAAAAATCTAAAAATATTAATGAAAAAGGACTGGTTGTTTTTTTTTTTTAAAGGTTAGTTTTCTAAAATCTTGTCATCTAGTATAACTGGATTTTTTTTTTAAAAAATAATATCCTTATGATTTGTTCATTAGTGAGGTATGAGTCAAATAAACATATTTCAGACATTCAGAAAAATCACAATTTTGGGGAGGAGTTAGGGCACATCTGCAGCAAACCATCATGATTTGGAAGTAAATTTCATAAAAAAAAAAGTTCTATACAGACAATTCTCAACTTATAACTATTCTTTAAATGTTCATTCAGTTACAACAGCATTTAAAAAATGACTTATGACTGGTTTTCACACTTATGACTGACTGTTACAGCATTCCCATGATCATGTGACCAAAATTTGTATGCTTGGCAACTAGCTGTATTTATGACACTTGTATTGTCTCAGGATCATGTGATCATGTTTCCAGCTGGCTTCCGACAAGCAAAATCAATGGGGGAAGCCAGATTCACTTATCAAACTAGGATTCACTTAACAACTATAGCAGAAAAGGTTGTAAAATGGAACAAAAGTTACTTAACTATCTTGTTTAGCAATGGAAATTTTGGGGTCAATTATGGTGGTAAGTTGAGGACTACCTGCATTTGAGTAAGCAGGTAGCCCTTCTTGAATGACCATTCATTCAGCGACCATTTGAATTTACAGTAGATCCTTATAATTGCAGCCACTGCCATTTCCCCATGTTCATGTGATCACAAATCAGGCAACCAGCTCACAGTTAAGACATTGCAGTGCCCTGCAGTCACATGATCATCCTCTGCAAATCTTTACTGCTGGCTTCTGAAAAATGAAATGGGGAGGTTGGCAGGTCATAAACAATGATCACTTGACTAAGAAGCTGCAATCACCCAGGATTCGTCAGATGGCAACTGAAACAGCTGGCATCATTAAGTTGGGGCGGTCACATGTCACACTTTGTGACTACATCTCTTAATGACAGAGCTGAAGGTCCCAAGTTCTATAATTAAATGAGGACCAACTATACACAAATACTGCTAAGTTTAAATAATGTGGCAAAAAATCTTGACCTTTTTTTCTTAATTACAGATAGAAGTATTTTGAAGTTTGGAACACTTGTCAGCACATCAAATAGTTATGACGAAACTGGGATAGTGACCATTGAAACTGACAAGCCTTTGCTTTGGACAATGGGAATTAAAGATAAAGGAGATGCTTGAAAGATTGTCACCCTACTTAGTTCAACTTGAAATTCAAAAATGAAATTTTCTGGACTCTTACCCACTAGGGAACTGAGAATTTTATTCTGCAATTATTTCATTATGCTTTTATAAAAATTCAACATTTTATGTAGTTAGTTTTTAAAATGAAGCTTCAATCTATTGAACGCCATAGATTTTATGATTTTTTTAAGCAAAGCTGCATTTACGTTTTTAAAACCTGAAATTGAATGTATTTTCAAATTACTCTGTAACCAATGCATAGAAAAGCTGCTTTAAGACATGTAAGATGGGTAAGCAAAAGTAGATATATACAACATTCCATGCTGTATTCTAGCTGTTGCTTTTATGCTCAAACTCTTTAGCAAAACTTCGCTATTGGTTAAAAATAAGCAGTGCCTCTTATTAGTTACTGACTAATTAATACCCATATAATATGTTACTGTGACTAAAAAAATGCATGCAAAATTAGTCTAGAAAATGCAATACAAATCAAATATTGCATGGGAGTAGAAACATCCATACTCCCCTGCAACCCTCAACACACACCTGTGCATAAGCATAAAGCCTGGCTTCACTCACTCTGCTCTATCAGAGATCATCTATCTTTTATCCACTGCATGGAAAAGTACTCAGTAAATTCTACTCCCACTAACAGAACAGTAATTTTTATCTCCCACTTATTGGTCAAATAGTGACCAGTAGCTGGGATTTATTTATGACGCAGAGGACACATAAATAAATGGCCCACAACAATAACTTATTTTGTTTACATTAAAACATAGGAAAGATATAAAGAAACTGTTATTTGCTTGCTTTAAAACAACATAAGAAAAATATAGTGAAACTGTTATTTTGCTTGCATTAAAACACAGGAAAAAAGATTTAGTGAAACTATTTGTTTGCTTGCATTAAAATGACATAGGAAAGAAACTGTGTGACAGTATTGACAGAACAGGAAATGAGTTCGTATGTATAGTGTCTAATATGTGCACTTTATCGCCTGATCCCATGGCAGCTAAGTATCACATAGGTCTCTGCAAATAAAATTAAATCAGAATGAATTCTACAATGTAAGCAGTATTAATTATATTTTATCTTGGCTCTATTCTTATAAAATGTTTTCCTTAAAGCTTGCCAAAATGTAATGGAATTAGTTCTTTTGGAAAGCAATGTCAATTAATACATTGTAAATAAGATCTGCCTTAATAAAGATATAATTTAAAATATATTTGATAGTTACATTTTTGCTTTTAACAACATGGGGAGCAAAATATATATTTCTTTTCAACATAAAGACTGACAGAACTTGGGCATCTTCAGTGATAATCCAAGAAAGTCAATTGTACAAATAACTGGTCAATGCTGTTTACAGCACTCATGCTTTCCCAACATCCAAGAAGAAATGGAATACTTCCTAAGTTATCTGCTCTTTCCTAAAAGCTCACATCAGCTAGTTTAATTTCAAGTATTGCTTAGTTAGGCTTTTATGTATTTGCAAATAGGATATCACACACATTTTATTTTAAAATCTAGTTTATATTGACAAGTTATGAGGAAGATCTACACAGACAATTAAGTCAGAAAGTCCACATTATCTGTTATTTTACCATGCACAAAGTAATGTCTTCCTGATTTGTTTAGCCACCGCTGCAAAAGAAAAAAACAGGACATCAATTGAGACATTGCTACATGATAAGTCAATATTGTGTAATTATCTTTCAAGAAACATAATTATTTTTCTAAAAGTAACAAGTTCAGTGAAAAAAATAAAAATGTATTTATATAAAAATATGTAATAAACAGCATATCAATCAGTAATGAATCTAAGATGCTGGATTAGTTCATAAATAGTAAGCTATACACCAGTGGTGGCAAACTTATAGCACGGGTGCCAGAGGCGGCACTGAGAGCCCTCTCTGTGGGCATGCGCGCTGTTGCCCCAGTCCTAAGCCTTCAGCTGGGTTTTATAAAACAATTTCTCTTTAGGCCTCTGCCGCTGTGTGCAAAAAAAAAAAAAAAAAAAGGTTTAATCAATCAGTCAATTTCAATTTCTCATGGGAAAAAAAAGATCTTGCAAAGTTGGAGTTGATTGATTGAACTTTTTAGTCCCACCCATCTGCCGTTACCACCGCAGCCATGCCCACCCAATGGCCACGCCCACCCAATGGCCCACACCCACTCGGCACCCGACGATGCATATGTAGGTTTTGGGTTGCAGTTTGGGCACTCGGTCTCTAAAAGGTTTGCCATCACTGCTATACACCAAAAGATCTAATTAATGTTCTAAAGACTGTATACAATGTTATCAAAGATGCTTATCTGGAAAATAGATCTAATTGACTAAAACTAAATTTCAATTAGAATGATACTTTAATCAGAAAAAACTATTTGAAATTTGTTTTTTTGTTTTTTAAATAAAATCTTGCAGGGAGGCTACTGCATACACTTTCATGTCCTCTCTCGATTCAGCAGAAAGATAGAGTAGAAATTGGTAGTCAAAGCTCAACCATGCCAGGTAATCCAATATCAAAAGTTGCTTTTACATCTAGTCTCTCGTTCATTGCTGACATAGCTCACCAGCAAAACAGTCAGTCCCATATACTAACAAAATATCCTACCGAAATAGATAATTTATGTAATCCAAAATGAAATATACCAAATTATTCCACAAATAAAACCATTTTTGCCGCAGAAATAATTTATTATCCACTGAGGCACAGGTAGAGATCCTAGAAGATCACCTGATTAATCTACTGTATGTATAATGTACAAATATAGAAATGGCTTATAGATTCAATTATAAAAATAAGGGACTTATATCACTGAATAAATTAACCACTTCTATTACTAAGATTACAAAAATTTTCACTAATAGTTGTCTGCCTAAGAAATGTCCCTTCCCAAAGGAACTGCTTTGTTCAGAAAACACATAGTGGTATCTTAGTACAGGTAATCCCCAGGTTACAAACATTCATTAAGCCCCCATTTGAGGTTACCTGATAAGCAACCCCTGGTGTTTATGAAAAAGTCCTGAAATTACAAAGGTTGCAGCACCACAGTAGTTGTTAGCCCTTACGAATGACTGCAGAGGCTCTGTAACATTCATCCTATTCCCCCCCTGACTCCTCAAACTGTTTCCCCCTACTATTCTGCCATGCCGGATTCACCTACCTTGCAAAGATCTGTCTCCACTCTGCCACGTTTTTTTGCCTTTGAGGGAGAGGAAATCAGCTTGGAAATGCTTTTTGCGCCGAGAGTGAAAGGTTCAGGGAGCCGTAATCTTGCTTCTGCAGAGTATGGGTATCAGAAGTCACATGAGATTACAGCCCCCAGAACATTTCTCTCCCGACGCAAAAAGCATTTGCAAGCTGATTGCGTTGTTCCCAATGTCCAGCCAGCTTGCAAATGCTTTTGCATCAGGAGTGAAATTTTCTGGGGGCCATAATCTCATGTGACTTCAGGCCGCAAGATTACAGCCCCCAAATGCTTCCCATCTCCAGCAATTTCACTGACTCAAAGCTTCCCATCAGCTTGCAAACATTTTGTGCGCAGAGACTCTGGAAGTTTCTGAGCACTGTGATCTTGTGGCAGAGAGACTGGAGAGGAGACAGCTGAAGAGGAGACAGCCCACTAGATCTTCACAAGGTAAGTGACCTGGCATGGCAGGATGGGGGGGGGAACAATTGCATGAGGTATGTCAGTGGGTCAGGGGAAGCCATGGGAGCTCTTAAGCAGGTGGCCTGTTCCCTCACTAGGCCCTCTATGGCCTTCCCCACCCTGAGATACCTCATGGGCACTTAATGACCCAGGCATTCAATTAATGAATGCGTTGACAAAAGCAGGGAGTGATGGCATTCAAGGTACACCATTCATTACTAAGAATCCTCAAGCTAACTCGTAATTTGAGGATTACCTGTAGTGGTAACACATTTATTTCAAAATATGTTTTTGAATACATTTACATATTAAATGTAAGCAAAAAAGACAGCAGCAAATAGTTTTGACTGTGGCTTTTAATAACATGACACTCCACTTTCTGTGTAAGAATCAGAGGCAACACTAGATGCCCTGAACTGCTGCTATCAATACAGAAAGCTAATTAAATATTGTAATCCTGATGTGAGGAAACATCTTTTTGTTTCATGTAAGTTTTCTTGGTGTTATTCACAATTTGATGGTACTATTACAGTTAGCTCTTACTTTGGAGTTCAAATGTATTAATAATATGAAATTGTTTTTCTAATTAAAGTTGATTAAGCTGTTACGATTCCACTTCTTTATACTCTTGAGATATCCCAGTTATGGCATATGTCACAGAATATTGTCTAGCTTTATGAATTAATTCAAAAGGCAATGAGTCAATTTGCTCATTGCAATTTGTCATTCTGTTTATAAAATCAATCCTAATATTCAATCTTTTACTTGAGTGGCATTATTAAATAATTTGAGGGAGAAAGCCTTTTCATAATAGTGTCCTGCCTTAGAAATGCCCCTTTCTAAAGGAACTATTTTGTTCAGGAAACCAGTAAGAGTATAGTGGTATGTCAGCACTATTAACATGCTATTAATGTCTCATTTTTAAAAAGTACCATATTGATTAATTTCTGTACTTAGTTTCTTTATAACACTTTAGCGTTTTTTAAATAGCAAATTATCACAGAAATATTCTAAGTAAATGCATGTGTCACAGACTATTTTGTTGTCACATATAAGATTCTCAGATAGCACTAAAGAGGGAACTATCATGAACTTTTTCTCAGATCTTTTTCTACAAACAGCATTTAACACATTTACTTACACAATAATATTGTTGATTGGAATATGGATCAATTTTACGAAGAAACCAATAAATCCCATTATTGCAAAACCTATTGCTGTTGCCATGGCAATCTTCTGGAATTCTGTAATTTAAAATTACACATATTTATCCAATTTCTGAGCCACTGTTCTCCAAAAATGATAATCGGCAGCTTTATAAAAAAAAAAATTAAAGCACCATGATATTTAAAAATACATACTTGCTTCAAAAGAACACTTCAAAAATACCTCCAACTGAGAAGAACCCACTAGGTGCCCTAAGGCCTGAGGGAATAACCACATTTTTAGGGTTCTTTTGAATGTGGAAAGGCTAGGGCCAAATGAATGCAGGTGCTCCAAAAAAGAGGGTCACTCCCTGGGTCACACTAGATTATTGCTTAATGCACAGGACTTGAAGTCAATTAAGTCATACATAACAGACAAGTATTACAGGATATTACATCATTTTCTAAAGTGTTTAGAATAGTGGAATAAGTGGTAAAAAAAAATTTAGAACATAGAACAATAGAGTTGGGCTTTGGAGGTCTTCTAGTCCAAATTCCTCAAGCAGGGGAAACTATACGATTTCAAATAAATGAGGATCCAGCTTTTTTTGAAAGCCTCCAGTGATGGAGCCCCCACAACCTCTGATAGCAAGATGTTCCATTAGTTGATTGCTCTCACCGTTAGGAAATTTCTCCTTAATTCCAGATTGCTTCTCTCCTTGGTTAGTTTCCATCCATTGTTTCTTCTCTTGCCTTTTAGCGCTTTGGAAAATAGTTTGACACCCCCCCTCATCTTTGTAGGAGCCCCTCAAATCTTGCAACACCACTATCATGTCTCCTGTAGTCATTCTTTTCATTAGACTAGACACACCCAATTCCTGTAATCATTATTCGTTATTCCAGCTCCCTAATTATTTTTGTTCTTCTCTGCACTCTTTTTAGAGTCTCAACATCTTTTTTATATTGTGGTGATCAGAATTGGATGCAGTATTCCAAGTGTGGTCTTACTAAGGCTTTGTAAAGCGGTACTAGAACTTAACGTGATCTTGACTCTATCTCTCTATTAATGCAGCCTAGGATTGCATTGGCTTTTTTGGCTGCTGTCAAAAAATAAAGGAAGAGCAATCAGATACCAAATCAGACTTCATTAATTCCTGAGTGTTTTCTAGACTTCTAGACTCAGCATTTGTGATAACTAACTTCTCTAAGCCTAAGAAAAAGGTCAATTTTTCACTTAGGAAAAAAATATGCTCACTACTAATGAAGGTAGTATACATAATTCTGGGCTCCAGTTCAAATCACTCTGCTCACTTTACCAAAGAAATCCCCTTGTAGCCCCTATTTCAAAAATTTACCTCTGACAACTGACAGAATTTTAATATTGCATTATTTTTTTTAATAATTTTGATTTTGAAGTCCTCCAAGAGTATCTTGGTGACCATACTTTAAGAACATGGTGGAGTATAATAGTATATATTTTAGATTTGTTGACTGTCCACCAGTTTATTGTTTATATGAGTTCTTAATCTGTATTATTTTTATTACCTTCAATTTGTACTATTATTTGTAGTATTTTTACTTTCACTTTTAAAATATATCATTATTAGAATGAAAATATGGGATTTGATACAGAAACCTAACATGAATCCCCTGCAATTATAGAAATAGTTAGTTTCTTGCACTTTATATTATCATAGATTTCTTTTGCCCTTCTTTCTTCTTGATTACTTTACCTTTTCTATCTGGTTTTGTGCATCTTTTAACAAGTCTGATGGAATCTTTCACAAACTGGCGGCTGGGCTCTACAAATTGCATTACTTGATCCATGATGAACTGAAAAACCAAAAACAAATTAACTTTCAAAAATAAATGGAAGCAAAGATAATTTTTTAACAAATAGTATTTCTGATACTATTGATCTATGTAGAAAACTTAAAGCTATTGCCCATGGTTACTCTTTCAGAGGCTATTAATCATAAAATTAAATCTGGAAATATTCCAGAGGTAACCTTATCTCATTTGACTAAATACGTCTAAATGCTGAGTGATCAGTATAAGCAAAAAACATATTCTACCAAACTGAACACATTGCCACAGACTGTGATCCTGATTTACAAATTAGAATGTCAACTACTCCACTAGCTACTGGCCAATCAGTAGTTAGTTAGCAGTTAGTATTAGGAAATTATACTAGTCATCTGCTGGACTGATACCATTGGAGTGTGCTTCAAAGTTTATATATACATTTTTAATCTACAATAAATAAGTACAAGAGTTCAATGTATCTATAACATACCAAATGCTACCAGGATTCATTTCAGATTTGCTTGCCTTTCCATAAATGGGAGTGATATGGTTCCACTTTTTTGTAAACTAGGTAATAGGTAAACTGACCTGTTTTTATAGTCATCAGTTTTTATAGGAAAAGAAAATGGGAAGAAGGCATTCTGTGCATATACAGACTGGTTTTCTTTTGCTTTCGGTTATTTTCTCGGACTCTGTTTGGTACAAAACGGCATTATATTCGTTGGGGCTTTATAGGTACAAGTGCTTGTTTTAAATTAAAATTACCAGTAATTCATGAAACACATAAAACTGTAGAAGTATATGCAGCTTACATACCCGTAAAGAGAGAACAGAATAGTGTGAAAAATCGTCCTCTGGAGTTAATTTAAGAAAAACAATTACACGTTTAATATGGCCTTGAAAAAGCGACAGGTCTGAAGTCAAGAGAGCTAAAATACTCTGCAACCAGCCAGAAGAGGAAAGCGCTATGCTTTAACTAACTCTTGGCATTGAAAACGCGAAGGCCTCATTATTTCTCTTTTTTGCCAACAATCCGAAGAAAACACAGAACAAAATCAGAATTACCCGTAATTACTTATACTCACAATTCTGGAGAAATAGTCGTTACGCTCAGACGCTGCCACCAAATGAGGCCTCTTAAGACACGTAGCAACTCCGGCGAAGAGAACGCGGAACCGGAAGAAGCGCACACTTCCGAATTTCAACTGCGCCACGTGGGTCTCTTCCTACGTATGTCGTGTGTATCTGATGAATGAAAGTCGTCAATGAGACTGCATTTCAAGCAAGGTTATGTGTATTCTTTTCAATAATAAAACCCCAAATTTTCGAATTGTGCCTTTCACAATCTCGAACTACGAAGAAGTTCAGGATGTGTTAGAAAAAGGATACGGGTTTGTTTATTTGTTTGTTTATATCCCACCTTTATCATTTTTATAAATAACTCAAAGTGGCGAACGTACCTAATACTACTTCCTCTTCCTATTTTCTCTACAGTAAGATCTCTGCTAAGTAGGTTGGAGAGAGAGTGACTTGCCCAAGGTCACCCAGCTGGCTTTCATGCCTAATGGACTAGAATTCACCGTTTCTAGCCTGGTGCTTTCTAGTCCAGGACTTTTCAACCTTTTCAGAGAATGTACAACTTTTAGAACATGACAATATTTCAGTACCACCAGTGTTTAGCAAGGTGTTAAAAACTTGCTAAAGGGGGGGATTTTGGGTTTTACTGATTAGATTCATTTGTTGTTATAGAAATGGCTAGTTTATAATATGGAAAAGTAAAAAGTTGAGGTTCAGTGTTAATGCTTCATTTTATTGCAACAGAGGAAGTCTGTTCTTTTTCCCTTCTCCCCCTCACTTTTTTCTCCTCAATGTGTCCTATTTGCTTTTGTATTTTTGTATTTTATTCTATAATAAAATATTACAAACTGTAGAAAAAAAGAAAAAAGTACAAGTTTTAATTCCTTCAGTGGCTGTTCCTTTGCTGAATCACTTTCCCTTTGCACTGACAAATGTATGATGAATTTATCCATGTTTATTAATATGCATCACTACCAGCTAGCTCAGGGGTCTTCAAACTTGGCACTTTTAAGACTTGTGGACTTCAACTTCCAGAATTCCTCAGCCATCATGGTTGGTTGAGGAATTCTGGGAGTTGAAGTCCACAGGTCTTAAAGTTGCTAAGTTTGTAGACCCCTGAGCTAGCTAGTTGGCCCTTCTTAGTTCTCCCTCCACAGTGTAGTAAGAATGCACCCTCCCAATCCCTTCCTTGTACCCTTAAAGTCACAGGAATCAAGTGCAAAGTCAGAAAGGCTAACAAAATAAAGAAACACATAAACTCTGTTGTTTTTTTTCCTTTAAGCTGCCTCAGGTGTGCCACAATGTTGCAACCAACACTGAAAGGCTCTGACAATTGCCAAAAGCTTTAGCCTTAAATTAAGCCTGTTTATCTTCAAAGAAAACTTTCTAAAAGCCATAGACAGATTGAAGATAAGGGATTAAACCTACAGAAGTCAACACTTTGGACTCATTGCTAGACTAAAATATTCCAAAAACCAAAGCGCACAAACTGAGCCTCTGAATTATAAAATGCTGTAAAAACTGTACAAAAATCCTTATGGTGACCCAATCAAGCTGCCAGCTGATCCACTACTAAATAAACCCACCTCTTTTCCAACATGCCAGCTTTTCATTTCATCAGTGCCGATTGCATTCTCCTGACTGGAGAAAACGAACCAGGGGAACTTTTCTTCCAGCAACAGCTGCTGCTTCTTCTCTGTCCCTGTTTCCTTCCTGCCTGCTGACCTTTCCTTCTCTTTCCCTTTTGTCTTTTTTTCCCTTTCCTGCCCAAACCACCTCCTTTTATAGCCTCTCCCTTCTTCCTTCCCCCCCTTTTTCTTCAATTCATTTCCAGCTCACACTGCTTCCAGAACCCAATCAGCTGGAGCCCTGCCAGCTCCTGGGGCTTCTGCCAAGCCCAGACAGTCCTGCAGTTGCAGCTGCCTCTTCCCTCAGGCTTGGGTCACTTTGGCTCATTCCCCTCCCCCCCCACACTTGGCTAGCAGTCATGTACCACCTGCCACGTTGCAAAGTACCACAGGTAGTACGCATGCCACCGGTTGAAAAGCACTGTTCTAGTCCAACACACACACATATATACAAAGCACTAAAAATGCAACTTCAGCATTGATATGGTAATGAAAACAAAAAGCAAAGAGAAAGAAAAGAATGACCTATAAGATTTAATTGGGTCTTAAGAATTAAACCATTCTTCCTTATCCCTTCACTGGGGAAAAATAAGCAATTTTGAGAGTGAATTAAGTCAGTCACAGTTCACAATAGTAAACTAGAATATTTAAAAAAATGTAAACTACACAATAACTAAGAAGACAAAGGTCTGAATTCAAAACACAATACCTCAGATTTAATCCATTTTTAAACCAATGTGACTCAGAGATTATCTGTGAAACTAATGAAGCTCAGAGATCAGTAATTTTGCTAAGAAACACTCAAGTAATTGGTGACATCTAAATACTAAAAGTCGGATTATGTATTTCTATCCCAAACCCGTGCAGCATCTATTTTGCAAAAACATGTTGTTAATATTTAAGAAATATACACATAAGCAAAATTACTCATAACACATCCTAACAAAAATATCTATATACCCAAACAAAACACAAAATATTGAATTATAGGCCTTCAGCTTTCCTTCTGTTTAAAAATGGCTCTCAGAAATGCAGATGATTCTGAGGGTTGTCATTTTTGTTTGTGGTTATGGATGAAACAAAGCAGTTATAAACTATTATCCTCCTGCATTAAAATCAGCTGAAATTGAAACAGGTGTAATAAAGAAGAGACCAAATCATTCTCAGTTTGGGCAATAATAATTGCCGATTATTCTGTCCAAATGGCTTTTACCAAGGTCCCCACTGGCAGTTTTCACTCCCAGGTTGGAACAGCAAGAATCAATCAATTTAGTTTCTATGGTTGGGATTCTGAGGTTTTCAATGACTGACATTTTGTATGCTACCCACCCACCCATTTAACTACTAAGTTTCTTCATGCATGTTAACATTCATCTGACACACCTATTAAGAGACAGTAAGAAATTGGGGGGGGGAGGGAAGAGAACCCAATTTTACTGTTCTGAAGGGAATTGCAGAATTCTTGTCATCAGTCCATGGGAGGGTGGGGAATTCAGTGGTTCATTTGCTTAAACAATTGAAATCCTTGTTGCATGTGTTAAAAGGATCTAGTCATTGAAATGGTTATGATTAGAGATACTTTAAAAAATACTTGATCTATCCACAAAAAACAGAATATCAGTCAGGCTTTACATGGGCACCATTTCATATTTCTGTTATACAATTTAAATGCTTCATATTTAATTACACCTATATTGGAATTCATTATCTCTACAAAATCAGATTGCCTTTATTCGGTTCTATAACAAACTGTCCCTTTAACTTAATTTTGCATATAATATTTCTTCTGCATAAATCAGCTAGAAATGAAGCTGTGTGACCAATTTGGCGAGTATGAACCATTGATCATTTCTCAAGGGCTGAAATGCATGATACTGTCCTCAACTGTCCCAAGGGCATTAGTCCACTCATCTTTTTTTTTTAACCACACATTGAAAGTAGTGGGTTTTAACATGCCACCTCAAGCAAGTTGCTGCCCATTATTTCACTGTAGACAGATATTTTCTGTCCAACTGATTATTCTGCATATTAGCAGAAAAATTCTATCCCTTCTCAGCTTTGGCATTACTTCCACAAGTTACCACGTGGAAGGATCTGAATCGGCCTTTTCTTTTTATGCAAATAAAGTGGTAAAAATAATGTCTTATGTTAGTGAAATAAAGAATCAATCTTTTAAACTATAATTGCCAATTAGCTAAAAATGGGTTTTTTTTAGTTACAGAGCTTATAAGACACTCCTACTAACTGACTTAAAACTTCCCATTTTTGTAATCTGAATTAAGAACAAATATTTTTAAAGCTAAAACAGAATAATCTGTTGAAATTCAGAAAGGGATTTCTTAACCCAGCTTCATTTTTAGCATGTTGGGTGTGGAAGTCCAAAAGTTTAAGGCTTATGTACAAAAAAAAAAAAAAAGTTTTTAGTTGTATCCATGCCATTTGATTTTGGTACATTATAATCAATCTGCCACAATATTAATTCCAAATTTTGAAGTCTGAATGACATCTGAAATCATGATATTTCATATTTTTTTAATTAAAAATATTGGTAGGGCATTTCAATAAACCAGTAAATTGCAGTTTTCTATACAATAAAGTAATTTAGAAACATTTTTGTGCATTTAAAAAATAAGCATCCTCATTCAATATTTTACCGTTAACTTCATTCAAGCACAATCAATAAAGGAGATAATATGTTTCTATTGAAGTTCTTAAAGCACAATACTTGAGGATTCCAGTGATGACATGATTGATGACATCACAAAACTTTCTTTGTTGTTGACTCTAACACTAAGTTTTACTTCATTAAGTAGTAATGGTAGTATAGAAATAGGACCATGGCAGAGAGGAATGAAGGCCATTTTTCATAAGATCATTCATTAGAATAAGGATTAAATCCTCTCTTAGATTATTTTTTTTTAATTCTTCCTTCCCTTTAAGATCCAACTAAATCAACATTTTTCTTCATCATGGGATCAAGTAATCTTCCAAGGTTCAGGTCTGATCTCAGTTTTACAAATTCTGAAGATCGTCTTTTCCTCCGGGAATCATTAGAAACTGTAGTCAGCTCCTTCTCACTTACTGCAAATGGCATCTGTAAAGAAGGGGCAGACAGTGAGCTTCAGGAAGATGCATGGAATGAGAACAATTTGGAGAATTGTAATGAGGAAAATATGGAACAATCACAGAATAATAGCAAAGAAATAGAATACGAAAACCTTTATATATCGGACGAGGTAAGGAACCAAATCAATGGAAACAATAAAAAGGCTTTGGAAGCCCTATCTAAAGTTGAACTTCAAAAAGCCATTGATCTGTTCTCTGAAGCTATTGAGATGAACCCAAGCATTTCCAGTTCTTACATCAACCGTGCCAATGTCTATATGCAATTGCAAAAACCAAATGCTGCTATTAAAGACTGCAACATGGCCATTGAACTGAATCCCAAATCAGCAGAACCATTAAAATTGAGAGGAAAAGCATTCAAGGAATTAGGCTGTTTAAAAAATGCAGCCTGTGATTTTGCTTTAGCTTCTAAGTTAGAATATGACAAAGAGGCCAATTCAGTACTAAAGCAATTAAAATTAGGATTTCAAAGAATTTCTGAAAGGCAAGCAAAGTGCATCCTTACATATAAGGAATCTGAGATACTGGAGAAGATTAAGAAAGCACAGATAATTTTAGAGGATCAAAAACAAGACCAGAGAGAGAAAAGTATTAGCATTGATCTGGAGAACAAAGTAGTAAGGAACAAAGAAGAGAAAATGAAGCTAGACCATAATAAAGATTCCCAAGAAATAATAGATGAAAATATGGAGACAGATGAGAAGTGGAAGCAGGCCAGTGAAAACAAAAAAGCAGCTTTGGATGCCTTGGAGAAAGGTGAATATCAAAAAGCAGCTGAGTTATTCACCAAAGCTATCAAACTAAACCCCCATCTTACTAATTTGTATGTTTGGCGAGCCAGTACTTTTCTGAAACTTCATATGCCAATTGCTGCCATAAAGGACTGTAACAATGCCATAAAATTAAATCCTAATATGGCCTTATCATACAAGTGCCGTGGAGAGGCATTTTGTATGTTGGGTTATTGGCAGGAGGCTACTAAAGATTTCTCTGTGTCCTGTCAACTGGATTATGATGAAGATACTTATACCAAGATGAAAGAACTACAAAGAGAAGATGACAAAATAATTAAATGGTGGGAAAAGCCAGAGGAAAGAAGTAACCAGGGAGAGAAGATGAGCAAAATGAAAGAAACTCCTGGGAAAATACAAGTAAATAGTCCCCAAGATAAACCAGTTATTCATAAGTGTTGCATACAAGAACAGGAGGACACAGGAACATTTCACATTTCTGAAGAAAAGACAATTCTGCATAATTCCCCAAACTATAAAATATTCCCTCTTTATTGTTCAGAAGATCAAAGTGAAACTTATCCCATGTCTGCAGTACAAGAACAAGATCAATTTATGGATTATGAAAAACAAGAACATACTGAACTGCATGAAAGAAGGGCTCAGAAAGGACCTATGAGGAAACAAAAATATGAAACTGAGTCAGAAAGTGAAGACAGTGAATTGGAAATTGATACTGAAGAGGTTATTGAGTCAGATGAAGATCTTCCTCAAGAGATGGGAAATGAAAACTTGAAAGTAACTGATGAAATGCAAAAACTAGCTAATGAAAAGAAAAGAGAAGCTTTTGATGCCGTCAATAAAGGAGAACTTTTTAAAGCTTTAGATTTGTTCACAGAAGCTATTAAGCTCAATCCACATCTTACTATCTTATATGCAAACCGAGCCAGGGTCTATTTGAAGCTACAAAAGCCAACTGCTGCAATTAGGGACTGTGACAAAGCCATACAAATAAATCCTGACTCAGCCCAGCCCTACAAGTGGCGAGGAAAAGCACTGCAAATACTTGGTTACTGGCAAAAGGCAGCTAAAGACCTTGCTTTAGCATGCCAGTTAGATTACGATGAAGAATCCTATGCTTTGCTAAAAGAAGTACAGCTAAAGGCCCAGAAAATTGCCAGACTCAGGAGGAAGCAGGAACAGAAAGTTGATGAAAAGAAGGATAAGGCTCTTTTGAGTGAACTTCAAGAAACTTGTAAGAAGCATGAAAAATCTCAAATGACATGTGCAGAACTGGGAAGAAATGACAAGGAAACTGTAGAGGAATGGAGAGAAAATTGGGGGAAAAACACTAAAGAACAATCAAAAGTAAGTCAAATAGTTCTGACAAAACAGAGGCGTACGGCCCAAAATAACATAGGTAGATGTTTTCAGGAAAGCAAAAGGAAACAAGGTAACTATTTTGAGAAGGAGAAAGAGGAGGAAGAAGAAGAAATAGAAGAAGAGGAACAACAAGAAGAAGAACAAGAAGAAGAAGAACAAGAAGAAGAAAAATTCCAAGAGAATTTACTGAAAAAACAAGTGAACCTTAAGCACAAGGATATGAAACACCAAGGAGTCCATCAAAATGAGTTAGAGGAACAATTAAGAGCTCTTCAGCAAGAATTGGATGAAAAGCTCAGAAGTTATCGAGAAGAAACTGATGAAGAAGAAAACACTTTACAGAGATTATTAGATGAGCAAGAAAAATCACAGCAAAAGGCACTCTGTGAACAAGAACAAACTTTTAAAATAATCCTGGAAGAACAAGAAAAAATACAGAAGGCAGCTCTGAGGGAACTGGCCAAAGCTCAACAAGAGGCTTTAAAGGAGCTTGAAAAAGCTACAAAGAAAGCCCTGGAAGAACAAGAGAGAGTTCAGCAGCAGGCTCTTGAAGAACAGGAAAGAGCACAGGAGGCCCTGGACACTCTGGAAAGAGCACATAAAAAGTCTCTGGAGGAACAAAAAAAAGTCCTTATAGCTGCAATAGAAGAACAGGAGCACGCTCAGAGAAAGTCACAGGAAGAAAAAAGAATGGCTGAGAAAGCTTTAGAAAACCTGACAGAAGCTCAAAGAAAGATCCAAAAAGAGCAGGAAAGAGCTGAGATGCAAGCTAAAGAAGAAAGAGAGAAAGCACAAAAAGCTTTAGAAGAATTAGAGATTGCTCAGAAAAAGGCTTTGGAAGATCAGGAAAAAGCTCAACAAACTCTGGAAGCTGTAGAAAGAGCCCACAGACAGGCTTTAGAGGAACAAAGAAAGATTCAGATGGCTGCTATAGAAGAACAACAGCAAGCAAGAGAAAGTTATCTAGAAGAAAAAAAGATGGCTGAAGCCACCATGAAACAACTTTTAAGGATGCAAAAAGAATTTCAAGAGGAACAAGAACGTTCAGAAAAGAAAGCAGTAAAAGAGAGAGAGATAGCTCAGAAAGCTGTAGAACTGGAAATTGCTAAAAAGATGGCCTTAGAAGAACAAGCAAGAGCTCAAAAAGCTCTAGAAGCTTTAGAAAAATCTCATATGTGGGCATTAGGCCAACAGAAGAGAGCACAGGAAAATACTCTAAAAGAAAAGATGATGGAAGAAGAAGCTCAGGAACACTTTTCAGCAGTTCAGAAAAAAGTCCAAGGGCAGAGAAAGAATCAGAAGGTGGCAAAAGAAGAAAGAGAAAGAACCGATATATTCCTAGAAGAATTAGCTCTGAAAAACTTAGAAATTGGTCATAAAGAGGCCCTGGAGAAAAAAAAGAAAATATCTGAAGAAGAAAAAGAGTTGATGGAAGAAGCTCTGGGAAACATTTCTGTAGCTCAGATAAAGGAACAGGAAAAGCAGAAAACATCTGAAAAAAATGTAATGGAAGAAAGTCAGAGTGCACAAAACACTTTAGAAGAATCAGAAATTCTTCAGAGGAACACTATAAAGGAACAGGAAAGACAGAACACATGGAAGGCTCTCAAAGAATTAGATATTGCTCAAAATAAATTTCTGGAAGAACAAGTCAGAGCTCAGAATGCTGTGGTAGTAGTGGTAGAAATATCAAAAATGGCAGTGTCAGAACAAAAGATAGCATCAATGGAAGTACAAGAACAAACAAGGAGGCAAAATCCAGAAAATAAGTTTGAAGCTGATCTGGAAGAAATTTCCATGGCTCACCGAAAAATCCAGAAAGAACAGAGAAACAGCATTGAAGAAAGAGTGCAAATATCAAAGGCCCTTGAAAAAGTTGAGAACATGCAAAAGAACTTCAGGGAGGAACAAGAAATTATAGAAAATGCTCACACAAAGATCCTGAAAGAGCAAAAAGGTATTCAGGCAGCATTGATGGAAGGGCAGGAACAAATAAGGGAAAAAAATCAGGAAGGAAAGAAGATAGCTGAAGTAGCCCTGGAAGAGCTTTTCAGGACTCAAAAAGACATCCAAGAAGAGCGAGAAGATGCTGAAAAAAAAGACATGAAAGAAAAAGAGAGCATACAAAAGGCCCTCAATGAATTGGAGATTTCTAAAAAAAAATGTCTTGAGAAAGAGAAAAGAGCTCAGAATGCTGTGGAAATTTTAGAGAGGGCTCATATAAAAGCATTGAAGGAACAGAAGGAAATTCAGAGAGCAGTGAAGGAAGAACAGGAACAAATAAGGAACAAAATTCAGGAAGAAAAGAAGATGGCTGAAGTAGCCCTGGAAGAGCTTTTCAGGAATCAGAAAAAAACCCAAGAAGAGCAGGTGAGTGCTCAGATAAAAGCAATGGAAGAAAAGGAAACTATACAAAAAACCCTAAAAGAGGTAGAAGTGATGCAAAATGAAGTCCTAGAAAAAGAGAAAAGAGCTCAGAATGCATTGGAAGCTATAGAAGAAATGCGTAAACAGGCTTTAGAGGAGCTGAACAAAGCTAAGAGGACTGCAGTAGAAGAACAGGAACAAGAATGGAAAAGAATTCAAGAAGAAAAGAAAATGGTTTTGTTGGCCCAGGAAGAGCTTGTCAGGATTCAGAAGACAATACAAGAAGAGAGACAGAGGGCTGAAAACAAAGCAGCAGAAGAAAGACAGTTAGCTCACAAAAACCTTAGAGACTTAGAAATTGCTCATAAGAAAGCACTGGAAGAACAGGAAAGAGCTCAGAAAGCTTTGGAAGATGTAGAAAAAGCTCATAAAAAACTGTTGGAAGAGCAAAAGAAAGTTCAAATGGTTGTAATACAAGAACAGGAAAAAATTGGGAAAAAATCCGAAGAAGAAAAGAAGATGGCTGAGGAAGCCTTACAAAAATTGTCAAAGATTCAAAGACAGATTCAAGAACAGCAGGAAGAGAAAGCCTCTGAAAGAAATTCTCAGGAAGCCTTTAAAAAAAACGAGTTTGCTCAAAAAAAGGCTATGGAGGAACAGGAAAGAGCAGCAAAAGCTCTGGAAGCTCTGGAAAAAGCTCATAAACAGGCACTGGAGGAACAGAAGAAAGCTCAGATGGCTGCCATAGAAGAACAAGAAAAACTGAGGAAAAGGTCTGAAGAAGAAAAGAAGATGGCTGAAGCTGCCCTAGAAGAAGTTTTCAAAACTCAAAGAAAACTCCAAGAAGAACAGCAAAAAGCTGAAAAAATAGCAATGGAAGAGAGAGAGAAAGCTCAGAAGACCCTAGAAGAATTACAAACGATTAAAAAAAAAGCCTTTGAGGAACAGAAACAAGCTCAGAAGGCTTTGAAAGAGGTAGAAATAGCTCATCAACAGGCTATGGAAGAGCAGAAGAAGGCTCATCTGGAAGCCATGGAGGAACAGGAGCAAGGATGGGAAAAAATGCAAGAAGAAAAGAAGAGGATGGAGGCAACTCTGGAAGAACTTTTAAGGACACAGCAACAGTTCCAAAAAGAGCAGGAAATGGCTGAAGAGAAAGCAATACAAGAAAAACAGATAGCTCAAAAGACCCTCAGAGAATTAGAGATTGCTCAAAAACAAGCTCTTGAAGAACAAATAAGAGCTCAGAAAGCTTTGGAAAATATAGAAAAAGTTCATAAACAGGCACTAGAACAGCAGAAGACAGCTCAGATGGCTGCCATTGAAGAATATGAACAGGCACGAAAAAAAGCTAAAGAAGAAAAGAAGAGGGCTGTGACAGCTTTAGAAAAACTTGTACAAACTGAGATGAAAATGCAAGAGGACCGTAAGCAGGCTGAGAAGAATGCAAAAGAAGAAAGAGATAAAGCTCAGAAGGCCCTAGAAGAATTACAAATTCTTCAAAAGAAAGCTCTTGAGAAAAAGAGCCAAAGTCAGCAGTCTCTGGAAGCAGTAGAAATAGCTCATCAACAGGCTATGGAGGAGCAGAAAAAGGCTCATCTGGAAGCCATGGAGGAATTGGAGAAAGAATGGAAAAAAATGCAAGAAGAAAAGAAAAAGATGGAGGCAGCTCTGGAAGACTTTTTAAGGACACAGCAACAGTTCCAAAAGGAACAGGAAATGGCTGAAGAAAAAACAATACAAGAAAAACAGATAGCTCAGAAGACTCTCAGAGAAGTAGAGATTGCTCAAAAACAGGCTCTTGAAGAACAAACAAGAGCTCAGAAAGCTTTGGAAGATGTAGAAAAAGCTCATAAACAGGCTCTGGAAGAGCAGAAGAAAGCTCAGATGGCTGCCATAGAAGAATGTGAACAGGCACAGAAAAAAGCTGAAGAAGAAAAGAAAAAAGCTGGAGCAGCTTTAGAAAAACTTGCACATGCTGAGATGAAAATGCAAGAGAGGCAAAAGCAGGCTGAGAAGAATGCAATAGAAGAAAGAGAAAAAGCTCAGAGGGGCCTAGAAGAACTAGAGATTGTTCAGAAGAAGGCCAGGGAGGAGCAGATAAGAGCTCAAAATGCCCTGGATGCAGTAGAAAAAACTCATAAACAGGCTTTAGAGGAACAGAAAAAAGCTCAGATGACTGCATTGCAAGAACAGGAACAAGCATTTAAAATATCTCAAGAAGAAAAGAAGAGAGCTGAGGCAGCCCTGGAAAAACTATCACAATATCAGAAAAAAGTCCAAGAAGAGCAGGAAATGGCTGAGAAGAAAGCCCGAGAAGAAAAAGAGAGAGCACAAAAGGCTCTTGAAAAATTAGACATTGCTCAGAAGAAAGCCTTAGAGGAACAGAAGAAAGCTCAGGTATCTGCCATTGAAGAACTTGAGCAAGCACAGAAAAAATCTGAAGAGGAAAAGAAGATGGCTGAGGTAGCTTTGGAAAAACTGTCAAACTTTCAGAGAAAAATGCAAGCAGAGCAGAAAAGAGCTGAGGAAAAAAACATGGAAGAAAGACAAAGAATTCAAAAGGCCCTAGAAGAATTGCAGATTGAACAGAAGAAAGCCATAGAGGAACAGACAAAAGCTCAGAAAGCTCTGGAAGCTCTTGAAAAAGTTCAAAAAGAGGGCCTGGAAGATCAGATGAAAGCTAAAAGGGCTGCCATTGATGAGCAGGAACAAGCATGGAAGAAATCCCAAGAAGAAAAAAGAATGGCTGAAGCTGCTTTGGAAAATGTTTTAAAAGCTCAGAAAAAACTTCAAGAAGAGCAGGAAAATGCCGAAAAAAAAATTATGGAAGAAAAAGAGAGCATACAGAATGGCCTCAAAGAATTAGCAGCTGCTCAAAAGAAAGCACTGGAGGAACAAGAAAAAGCTCAGAGTGCTCTAGCAACTATAGAAAGATCTCGTAAAATGGCCCTGGAAGATCAAAGAAGAGCTCAGATAGCAACAATGGAAGAACAGGAACAAACAAGAAAAAAAATTCAAGAAGAAAAGAAGATAGCTGAAGCAACATTGGATGAACTTTTAAAAACTCAGAGGAGGTTCCAAGAAGAGAAGAAAATGGCTGAGAAAAAAAATATGGAAGAAAGAAAAATAATTCAGGTTGCCCTTGCAGAGTTAAAAGTAGCTCAAAAAAAGACTCAGGAGGAACAGGAAAGGGCTCAGAAAGCATTGGAGGTTGCAGAAACAGCCCATAAATGTGCCCTGCATGAACAGAAGATTGCTCAGTTAGCTATTCAAGAACAAGAGCAAGCATGGAAAAAATCACAAGAAGAAAAGGAAATAGCTGAGGCAAAACTACAAGAACTCTTAAGGGCCCAGAAAACTTTCCAAGAGGAACAGGAGAAAGCAGAAAAGAAGGGGATAGAAGAAAGAGAGAAATTTCAAAGAAACATTAAAAAATTAGAAGAAGTCCAGAAGAGAGCTCAGGAGGAACAGGAGAAGGCCCAGACATCTCAGCATGCTCTAGAAATTGCCCATAAACAGGTATTAGAGGAACAGAAGAAGGCTCATTTGGCTGCCATTATGGAACAAGAACAAGCACAGAAAAAATCTCAGGAAGAAAAGAAAATGGCTGAAGCAGCCCTAGAAAATCTCTTGAAACAAGTACAAAAAGAGCAAGAAACAGCTGAGAGAAAGGCATTAGAAGAAAAAGAGAAAGCTAAGACAATGCTAAAAGAATTAGACATAATTCAGAAGAAGGTCTTAGAGAATATACTGGCAGCTAAAAAGGAGAGTCTGGAAGAACAGAAAAAAGCTCAAAACGCATTGGACAATCTGGAAAGAACTCATAAGCAGGCATTAGAAGAACAGAAAAATGCTCAAAGGAAATCTCAGGATGAAAAAAAGATGGTTGAGGCTGCTTTGGAAGAATTATCAAGAGCTCAGAAAAAGATCCAGGAAGAGCAGCATTCAGCAGAGCAGAAAGCAGTTAAAGAGAGAGAGAGAGTACAGAAAGAGTTAGAAGAATTAGAGAATGCCCGGAAGAAGGCCCTGAAGGAGCAGGAAAAAACTCAAAAAACTCGGGATGTTCTTGAAAGAGCTCATAAGCAGGCACTGGAAGAACAGAAGAAAGCACTGAAGAAAATTCAAGAGGAAAAAAGGATGGCTGAAGCTGCTCTGCAAGAACTTTTAAGAACCCAGAAAACATTCCACAAAGAACAGGAAAAGGTTAAAGAGAAAACAATGAAAGAAAATGAGAAGACTCAGAAGACTATAGAAGAATTAGAAGTGGCTCAGAAAAAAACTCAGGAAGAAGAGGAAAAAGCTCAGAAAGCTTTGGAAAGAGCTCATAAAGAAATCCTAGAGGAGCAGAAGAAAGTTCAGGTAGCTGCTATGGAAGAACTGGAACAAGCACGAAAGAAGTGTCAAGAAGAAAAGAAGATGTGTGAGGCAGCATTGGAAGAACTCTTAGAGACTAAGAAAAAATTCCAAGAAGAGCAGGAAATATCTAAGATGCAAGTAATGAAAGAATTAGAGAGTGCACAGAAAGAGCTAGAAAAAATAAAAATAGCTCAAAAAGAGGCCTTGGAAAAAGAAGAGAACGCTCGGAAGGCTCTGGATAATATAGAAAGAACTCATACTCAGGCCATAGAGGAACAAATGAAACTGCGGCAAAAGTGTCAAGATGAAAAAAAAATGGCTGAGGCAGCCCTAGAAGAACTCTCAAGAAGTCAAAAACAATTTCAAGAAGAACAGGAAAAAGCTGAGCAAAAAGCAAACAAAGAAAAAGAAATAATTCATATAAAACTAAAAGAACTGGAGATTGCTCAGAGAGTGGCTTTGGAGAAAGAGGAAAATGCTCAGAAAGTTTTGGATGCTCTGGAAAAAGCTCATAAGCAGACCCTGGAGGAGCAAAAAAAAGCCCAGATGGAACTGGAACAAATACAAAAAAAATATGAGGAAGAAAAGAAAATGGCAGAAGCTGCTCTGAAAAAACTATCATGGGCAGAGAGAAGCATCCAAAATAAGCAGGGAAGGACCATGGGAGAAACAATGGGAGAAACAGGGAAGATACAGAAGGCCTTAGAAGAACTAGAAATTGCACGGAAGAAAGCCCTGGAAGAAAAAGAGAATGCTCAGATAGCTCTGGAGGCTCTGGAAAGAACTCATAAACAAATACTGGAGAAAGAAGAAAAGGCACAAAAAAAGTCTCAAGAAGAAAAGCAGTTGACTGAGGCTGCTCTGGGAGAACTTATAAGAACTCAGAGAAAGTTTCAAGAAGAACAAGAAAGGGCTGAAAAAAAAGCCAAGGAAGAAAGGGAAAAAGTGCAGAAGTCCCTAGAAGAATTAGACATTGCTCAAAAGAAAGCTCTAGAGGACTTGGCAATAGCTCAAAAGATGGCCATGGAGGAAAATGAAAGAGCACAGCAAAGGGTTTTAGAAGAAAAAAGGGCAATACAACTGGCTATGAAAAAGCTGGAGACAGCACATGCTAAAGCCATAGAGGAACAACAGATAGCACAGAGATTGGCCTTTGAAGAACAGCATAGAACTAAGGAGATGTTTGCTGAACTAGAAAAATCACGAAGAAAAGCCCTGGAAGACCAAGAAGAAGCAAAAAGGAAAGCCATAGATGAACAAGTGAGAGCTCATCATGCTATAAATGAATTGGCCAAGATTCAAAGGGAAGTTTTGGAAGAACAAGAGCAAGCTCAGAAGATTGCTTTAGCAGAACAGCACAAGGCTGAGATGATGCTTAAGGAGCTGGAAGAAAGACAGAGAAAAGCCCTGAATGATCAGCAAAAAACATGGATGAAAGACTTTAATGATAAAAAAAAAACTTTCGGAGAATTTGCAAAGACTCAAATGATGGAACAGGAGAATGCTCATAATAATACAGCAGATGAGCAGAAGGAAGCTCATAAAGCTAGCGAGCTGGAGAAAGCACAGAATCAAATATTGGAAAAAAACCAGCATAAATATGTAGCACAAGTTTCAGAGTCTGTTCTTAAAACAATGAATGAAGAAGGCACTGCCGTATGTGATGGTGAATTTGAAGAAGCAGAAAAGAAAGACTTGATCATAGTTGGTGGTAAAAAGTTCTGTATGGAACCAGGAAAAATTCTTAGGGATTTAGACAAGAAGGAATACCAGCAATTCCTTAGAAACAGAGGATATGACAAAAATTCTCGAAGACCACTCCCAAACTCTGTCTTGGACTTTTTCCCAAACTGACTAAATTTTAGAATTCTGATCCTGAATGAAAGTTAGAGAAAGGATGGATCAATCTTAAGGTCATCTGCAACCATTAATGGAAGTAAAAATGGGAAGGAAGAAATAAGAAGAGAATGTTTCTATTTTTAAAGGTTCTCTCCCATAAGCAGTATACTTTGTTTAGGATTAAATTAATCCATATGGCGTTAGGTTAAGGTTCTTATAACCATTCAAGGTTTGGAAATGCTTCAGGCAATTTATTCAGGGGGCAGAGTCAAAACTACAAGTTGGCTTTTTCTCCATTCATTCAGATTTTTAGAACAGGAAAAGTTTAAATATTGACCAAGCAAATTCATTATGTTTCCCCACCAGTATTCTTTTTAATCATATCATAAAATTAGAACATTGATAAAATAAAATTACTGGTCTATAGATTTAGTATTCTCTAATTTGATTCAATTAAATTTTTAAACATGTCGCTACAAAAAATTCCATAAACATTGTTTATTCTAATAAGCTAAATGAAAGTAATTAGATTCAGATTTTTCCCTTGAAACCTCCTTAATCTGTATGAGATACGTAATCTATAAATGCTCAACTTTTTCATGTTTCAACAGTGAGAAGTTCTTTGATATATTTTTTCAAAAGAACCTTTAGCAGATTTTACCAAAAAACTTCCTTTCATAACAGCATGTGTAGAATTGCCCACTAAGCCTTACTCTCTGAAAGTATATATGAAGAGTGGATGTATTTTCATTATCAAGACATTTCTTTTGAAATTAGAAAATAATCCACATGAAGCAGAGTTAAGATTCTAGACAACAAATCTAATTTTTTCTATTGGGGAATGAGCTTAGCAGAATTTACTTCAATAGTAAATTCCAAGTTAATTTGCTTTCTTATTTTACTAGGCTAACGTGCCATTCCAAATATAAGCCAAATATTGAACCCACATACAAGTGTTGCTCCCATGCATTTCCTGTACAATACTATCCCTCCAAACACCAGAACAGCTTTCACACTTGCTCGCTGTAATATCATCCTGTCCACTTTGTTGGTTTTATAACACACCAAAAGACCTGCAGCTCCATCATATTATGCTTCCAAATGTTATTGAACTAAATGTTATTATAACTAAATCTTATAACTTTTTAATTATTATAAGAGAATAACTTTTTCTTATCAATGGCAGTATTTTGGATTATGGATTATATATTAGCTAAGATACAGTATTTTTCCTGGGCCTACATTCCAAACCTGGGCACTAGGTGGCATTATAGCTTGCATAAAACAAAATGATACAGTAGTGCTCTCTTGAATCTAAGTTAGGTTTAACATTTTACAGAACCAACTTTCATGAACTGCTTGCATAGGTGTAAAATTTCTCATTGTTATTCAACAATAGTGTTCAATTTCATATATATATATTAGTATGAAAACTGTAGTGAGAGTATGCACTTTGTGTGGCACATGCTATTAAAAGCTTGATTTTGCTTGACAGCAAGGTTGATATTCTTGTCCATACACACATCTATTTTACATGCACTGATAGCCCTATAATTTTTAAATTGCCGGGGACAGGGATGTTCTGTATCAATTAACTCACTGTCCCTGCTGTTTAGTTTAAATATTCCTCCAGAAAATCTGTGAATTTATTGCCTTTCTTTGATGGATGCAAACCATCTCTTTTGTACATTTTGATGTTGTGCTCAGGCTGGTGGGTGCCTAAAACCATGTGGAAGGCCATCCAGACCTCTTATGAATCTACAGTATAGTTATGAAATATACTCTCAAAAAGAAATATTGTTGGTAGTAATTTATGCACCAAATAACAACCAGGAAGAATTTTATCAAAATCTACACAGAAAAATAATAGCACTAGAATATCAAAATATTTGTCTAGGAGATTTTAATGCAATAGTGGATGGGACAGTAGATTATAAAAGCAGTAAAACAGGAAAAACTGAAAGAAAAAGACTACCTAAGACTTTTTTTTAATATGATAGAAGGGATTTGGAGGGAAATTAATCCAGGAAAATTACAATATACATTTTATTCAAATAGCCAAAAATCCTGGTCTAGAATCGAGATGATTTGGATGACACCGGAACTGAGGATGAATATGCAGGAAATTGAGATGGAATCAGGTACATGGGCAAATCATAACCCTTTAAAAGTGATATGGAGAGGAATACAAAAAAAACCACGATGGACTTTGAATCAATCTATACTAAAAGAAAGAGAATTTATAGAATTAGCAACAAAAGAAATGGAGTTTTTCTTTAAAGAAAACAAAAAGAAGATACAATATTACAAAATGTATGGGATACAACTAAAACATACTTTAGAGGCATAGGCATAACATATGTGACAAAGAAAAATAAACAGGAAAAACAGCAGTATGTACTACTAAAAGAAAAATTAAAAAAATTAGAATCAGAACTGCAAATGAATCAGCAAAAGAAGATTTAAAAAAGAGAAATGGACATAATAAAACATAAGTTAAATTTGTTGGACTCAGAAAAATTGGCACAGCAAAGAAAAAGAGCAAAACATTTTTTTTGGAAAATGCAAATAAACCAGGCAGATGGTTAGCCTATAAACTTAAAAAGCAGAAGGAGAAGAAAATGATAAATAAATTGGTAGATGAAAAAGGTAGTCTACAAATTTAAAAAGAGCCGAGGTGGCACAGCAGTTAGGGTACAGTACTGCAGGCCACTTTAGCTGACTGTGTTCGGCAGGTCAGCGGTTCAAATCTCACTGGCTCAAGGTTGACTCAGCCTTCCATCCTTCCGGGGTAGGTAAAATGAGGACCCAGATGGTTGGGGGCAATGTAAATATATATATACATTGCTTACTGGTGTACACCGCTTAGAGAGTGCTTGCACTTAAAGCGGTATATAAGTCTCATAAATAAATAAATAAATAAATAAATAAATAAGACAATCAAAGAATATTATAAGAAACTTTACGACATAGAAGAAATTCCAAGAGAGAGAATGATTCAATATTTGGAAGGAAATAATCTTCCAAAAATTCCAGAAACTTACAAGATTACGTTAGAGGAAAAAATAATAATGAAGGAAATAACAGAGGCCATAAGGAGACAAAAAATGAAAAAAACACCAGGTGTAGATGGATTACCGATGGAGTTGTATAAAATCTTACAAGATATATTAAGTGAACCGTTGAAAGACGTTTGTAATGAACTTTTGTTGGAGGCTAAATTTCCAAAAACATGGATAGAAACTAATATTACTTTAATATCAAAAGAAGACTCAGATTTGATTCAGATAAAAAGCTATAGACCGATATGGTTATTGAATGTAGACTATAATATTTTCACCTCAATAATGGCTGAGAGACTGAAAAGATAGTTAACTGAATTTATACGTTCAGACCAGAATGGTTTCTTACCAAAGAGACAAATTAAAAATAATCTAAGAGTGCTAATGGATATGTTGGAATACTATAAATTACATCCAGGGAAACGAATGGCACTAATATTTCTAGACACTCAAAAGGTATTTGATAATGTTTCCTGGCAATTTATGATTCAGCAATTACAAATAATGGACTTTGGACAGAATTTATAAATATGATAAAATGATATACAATAAATAAACAGTGAAAGTGATTGTGAATGGAGATTACACTGAGAACTTTGAGATAAGGAAAAGAATAAGGCAAAGATGTCCATTATCTCCATTGTTATTTATTTTTACTTTTGAAGTCTTAAATAGAAATATTAAACAAGATATAGAAATCAAAGGATTAGAAATAAAAGATGAAACATAAATTGCAAGCATTTGCTGATGACTTGGTGTTCATCTTAGAAGAAACTTTGGAGATGATTTCTAAACTACTGGGAAAGATAGAACAGTATGGAGAAATGGCAGGACTGAAAATAAACAAAGAGAAAACTAAAGCAATAGTTAAAAATCTCACAGATAAACAAAAAAAAACAAATATAGAATTTCAAATAGTTAAAAAGGTTAAATATTTAGGAATACAGTTGACAGCAAGATGTTCAACGATAAAAGAAGACAATTATATAACATTATTAAATTAAATGAAACAGGACTTGGAAAAATGGAAAAATTTGCAATTGTCAAAATTAGGAAGAATTGCTACAGTGAAAATGAATTTATTACCAAAAATCTTATTTTTATTTCAAACAACACCTATAAAATTGCAGAACTTTTTTTGAAGATTTGAAGTCACTAATTTTGAAATTTATTTGGCAAGGAAAGAAAGCTAGAATTAAGATGTAAAATGTTACAAGGTACTAAAGGAAACGGGATTTGGCCTACCAGAGTGGGTTCTATATTATCAAGCATCCATATTAACATAGATAAAAGAATGAATAATTCTTCAAAATAAAAGGTTATTATATCTGGAGGGACCTGATCTACAATTGGGGCGGCACACTTTTTTATGGTATGGGAAAAATAAAGTTCATAAATATTTCCAAAATCACTATATAAGAAATGCATTGTTAATAACATGGGAAAAAATAAAAAGCAAAATATATTTGAAAATTCCAGGATGGTTGTCAACAATGGAAGCATTTGTACACCCAAACGTAGTGGACTTTGAAAAAATCTGGACATATAGAGATATTCTAAACTCTGAAGGACACTTAAAATCTAAACAAGAAATGGAAAATCAGGGTATCAACTTATCATGGTGGACACATTTACAAATACAAACTAGATATGATAAATATGTTAAAATGTATGGGTTTTATAAAGAACAAACTGTATTTGATAAGACTTTGTTAACTTTGTATGAAAAATTAATTAAGAAAATGTATAATTTTTTATTAACTTTGAAATTGGAAGTTAAAGAAACAATGATAAAATGGCGAACAATTTTGGATATAATATAGAATTAGAAAGATGGAAAAACTTATAAATTGACAATGTGAACTTTCTATAAAGAAAACTTATATAAAATGTTTTATAGATGGCACTTGCCACCAGCAAGATTAGCGAAAATGTTTTAAAATATGTCAGATAGATGTTGGAAATGTAAACATAAGTCAGGCACGTATTATCATATTTGGTGGGCATGTGATAAAGCAAATAATTATTGGAAAAAGATACATACTTGGTTAGAAAAGATGTTGGGAGAACATGTTGATTTTAAACCTGAAAAGACTAATAAACAAAGCTTATATTTGACTGTGCACGTTATAACAGCGGCAAGAATCATATTTGCGCAATATTGGAAGAATGAAGGAGTACCATCAGATGAAGAAATAAATACTAGAATGCACAGAGATGGACAGATTGACTATAAGACTGAAAGAAAAGGAAGAATCCGACTATTATCAAACCTGGAATTTATTTTACTATTGGCTAGAAGAAAGAAAAAAGGATTAGGAATTAAATATGTATTAGCATATATAAACTCAGATAGCATGTTGGTTGAAAAATTATTATTGTTTGTATGAAAAAAATGAATAAAAAGATTTTAAAAAATATGGAAACATAAGCTAGGGGGCATGATTGGTCTTAGCACATGTTAGGCATAGAAATTTCTTTTCAGGTCCAGAAGATAGTGATCATTCCTTAGGAAGAAGGTAATGGCATTGACTTTTGAATAACTGCAGGAAATTGTCCACTCAGTTGCCAGGAGTCAATAGGCACCAAATGAATAAATAAAATAAAGGAGAGGAAGGAGAGCAGGAGGGAGCCTTATTGACATTTTGTAAAGAGAGGTATATGCATTCAGAAATTCATACGTACTAACTATATGAGCTGCATATCTTTGACAATATGGAGAAGTTTTCTTCCTGCACTGCAATTCAAATCAAAACACAATGTACAAAACTTGCAGGAGCCTTCAGATCTAAATCTGAAATCATCCAGTCTATTATCTCCTTATGTGAGGTACTGGTTTCCATGGTGTACAACACCATTTATTTATGCCTAAATTTTGTCCACAGAATTGATACTGTGAGACTCAACATGAAAAACAGTGTGCTCCTGAGACAACATGTACCTTTTATCTGCAGTGATCCATCCATGAACACAAGATACTGCTTCATTATCCAGTCATCAAATACAATGTTTTTGTACCTGTCTAAAGGGACATTTAGATGTAACAGGAATCCCATCAAAAGGGATAGGATTTCCAACTTTTAGTCTGGCTTCCATAGCTGCATCAGGATATGCCCTGAGAGAGAGAAGAAAAATAAGCACACAGGAATAATGTGGAATAGAAGGACCATGCCTCTGAATAGCAGGCAAAATCCATTTAGGACAAAAAATACTGCAAAATCCCTTGCAGCAAAACTTACAGCTAACAATAGCAGAACAATAGAATTAGAATCCAAAATCCAGCTTCCAGTTTTGCACAGTAACACAGCAGCCGAGGGATTGTGGGGCTCTGCACTCTATGGCCAATTTCTGCCTGCCTAGGGGACCCTAAATGGGCCTGAAGTTGCCCTGTAGAGGCAACAAAGAAGGAAGGAAACCCCACAGATTGCACAGAGACAGTGGCCAATTTGATCAGTTTGGGAAAAGCCCTCCAGAAACCA